CTGACTTGTCGTGAATAGACCACATTATCCTACTGTTGAGTTCCACGCTAGACCAATTACCCATACATCTGTGTAGGGCTCTGTAACACTGCTTAAGTGCTGATGACATATCCGCCAATGCTGTCCCCGCAGCAGACCCACTACCATTTCCACCGTCCGTAGGGACAGAGCTAGTGACGCGAATAGTCATCCCATGGAATTCCCTTGTCGATTTGAAGAGGTTAAATATCTTCTCAACGGCAAGCATATGGCGAAGTACTCTTTCACCAATGGGTTCCTGGTTTAGCCGTGTTGTATAGTTTTGCAGCGCCCCGACATTCTCACCCGAATTTAATCCAATGACCTTGCCCCAAGCAAAGAGCCTAACTTTTGCTATTTCCAAATTCGAGACTAGGAGAAGCTGGACAATATCTTCTTCATTCGGCTTCAAATCAAAGCTGCCGGATAGCCTGATGAAGGAGTTCCACGCGGCAGAAATCGAAATGATGGGCTCGCGGCCATCCGGTTGATTTGGCGTCGTCATTGGTATCTTGCCTCACGCCAAACTATGGTGTTAAGGAAACAATGTGAGCGAAAAAGTGGCAAGACAATCCCGGGGGGGGGGGGGGGAGGAGGGGGGTAGTGGGTGGTGCACCATCTTTATATGTTATCATGCCAGCTAACACACGCAGGGACACTTTCTTGGTTAGTTCGCAGCAAGGAAGGTTGCTGCGAAACTATTCTACCCGGTTTCACTGCCACTGCTACGCCCTCTAGGGGCTTGGCTTTCGGTGTGGAGAGTGATCTTGATATCCACTCGATTGAAGTCCAATGAAAGTCGTCTTGTGAACATTGTCGTGCAGGATAAGTATCCACTATGAATGAGACACCGTCAACTCATGAGCGGTGCGCACTCGGTGCGGCCGTGTGTACTCGTTCTTTTCGTACAGATCTCCACTTCTTTAAAAAAGTACAGCCCCAATATAACAACTGTTTGGTGGGCAGAGCAGCTGTACTAATATTACAGCTGCTTTGTGCAAAGTATGGATGAAAAAGGCCAGATGTTCAGTGGATTGAGCAGCTGTACTTGCATCTTTTGTCAAGATCTTATGAATAAGCAGTATTTAACTTCAACAGTGTGTGACAGTGTAGAATAGCACTTTTAGAGACAATATAGTGTAGAATAGTGTTCATAGTGGAGGCAGTTAACTAATATTGGTTAGAAAGAAGCTTGCAAAAACACATTCTTTTTGAACTGACTCTGGACTCCATTCAAAAAGAACACATTTTTGTGAGCTTCTTTCTCCATCATACAGAAGAGTATTGTCAGCGAAGATCATCAGCATGGAAAATAGTCAACAGCAGAATGACAAGGTGGAATTGTAGAGGTTTGAGTATTGTCATCCTCCACATCCAGATATTGCATTGATGAGACATCATATCAACCATAGATTTGGGAGAATATGATTTCAACGCGTCCGCGTTGAATGTGAAATTAAAAAGCCAGCATGGAGTGATCTCAATTAGTTATGGAATACGGAGTAGTGTGGTGGTGGGTGCTACTAATAATTGGTAGTTAAATACGCTATTTTTAATGAGATCCACTATTGCGTTCAAAAAGTACGGACGCACCGAACAGGCCCTAATTCTTTCAGAAACGACATGGACTTGTCCAAATGCCATTTAGTTCATCAATTCAGCCCGTCAATTTCAAGGTTGAATAGAAAGTCTTGAAATGTACTGGCAAGCCCCAAGCATTCGGGTTTGCTGTTCATGGATGCAGCCAGAGTCGATGATTCCTCCTCGACACGGCCAGTCGATGTCCAACTTGGTATGACAGTTTCAAGTTCAGATATCTCATATCCAACATGATTGAAATTTTGGTTCTATGATAGAAAGCGGGACTCTTCAAACCAAAATCATTGGGTACAATGCGCTTAAGCCGTGACGTCAAGTAAGCGACTCATGAGGGACTCAGGCTCTTGTCAAGAATTTTCAATAACAATGCCAAAAAAAGAGAAGCATGCGCCCTCCTCGAGCTTAAATCACGTGGGAATGTTCACTTTTGCGAAGAGTGGATCCTGCCCCTCACAAACCCTCGGTGTCGATTTCAGCAATAGGGAATAGATGCATAAAAGTATTTTGATAAAGGAGCCCAATTCAGTGACACGCCCGTACTAGAGGAAATAGCGTGATGTCTTCAGTTGCTGTCGCCTCGACATCATCGATATCATTAGTAGAGTCCAGCGCGGAAGACCACAAACTCAGCGACATAAATAGTAAGTATATCCTCTCGTATGGCCTGTTGTTGAAGCACAACCCCCTCTCATCTAGGAAGTAATCAACAGGTCATAATTCGACAACCCACGGCCTTTGCTTCGTATGCCGTCACTTAGATTTTGAACATGTCGGCTTCCACCGTTCGTCGGAGTATTCAAGCAACAACTATTCCTTTCGGAGGGAATTCCCCGCATTACTGAATAGCTCCAGCAAATGTGCTTTCTGCAAGAAGCTTGTCGACGTCATCAATGGGTGGATTGCGCAGAATAAAGGCGGCCAGGAACCCTCTTTTGATGTTTCGAGGTGCCACATAGAGGTGAGCCTCGAGACGGATTGGCATGAGGTGTTTCAGAGGAGGGATGAAGACATTTGTCCCGCAGCCGATATGAAGGCCTATTCTGATCGGATTAGGGTTCACTGCTCTATCCCAAGATTTGGAAGTGGTAATGAAAGTGGCCAGTCGCAATTTCTAACGTTCTTTTTCCAAAGACACGAAGGACCACATGCTCCTGATCTTCCAGATTTTCGATTGAACGGTATTAATTACCCCACGGCTCCCGGTAGAATCGCGCCTTATAGTGGACGTAGAAGGCCTCTAGTGGCAGATCTGGCACTCTTCAAACGTTGGAAACAGCTGTGTCAAGAGGTACATGGGACAAAGTGCTCTCAAATATTCAAGGGAACTCAGAAAATCAGGCCTCGAGTCATCGATGTCGATCAGAGACGTTTGACTTTCGCCCATGAGGATGACCGATGGGTGTGTTTGAGCTATGTCTGGGGAAAAGCGCAGACTCTTCGTCTACTCAAAGACAATCTCCAAACATTCTCAACGCCAGGGTCCCTTGGACCGAACATTCTTCCTAACATAGCGGAAGATGCCCTGCAAGTCACCAAGGGGCTTGGGGAACGGTACCTCTGGATCGATAGCCTATGCATAATACAGGATGATGCACAGGATAAGGCTAAGTTCATCTCGAAAATGGATTCGATTTACACCCTAGCGACGGCTGTCATAATCGCTTCCACGTGCACTGATGCCAACTCACACCTTCCAGGAGTGAGACCCGGTTCTCGAAATCTAGAACCAGAACCGTTCCAGATTGGAAACGCTACCTTGATAGGCTCCCTTGACCCTGTCCTCGGCGTAAAGGTCGATCTTCGTACCGGACGTGCCCAGGGATACCTTGGAGAAACTATATGGGACACACGGGCTTGGACTTTGCAAGAGAGGTTTCTCGCAGCTCGATGCCTCGTCTTCACAGCAGAGCAAGTCTTCTGGGAATGTGAAGAGGCATTCTGGTGTGAAGATAGCTTTCGCGAAATTCCCAGCGTCTCACCAGATCCGCACAGGACAAGCCTCTGCGGAGGTGAATTGAACCTCTCGTGGAATTCTGACGTCCCGACATTTGACCATTTCTATCGGGTGCTTCTCGAGGAATACTCGGGTCGCGCGCTGACATTCGACCACGATGGATTAAACGCTTTTCATGGCATCATACAGGCATTCGAGAGGTCAATGGAAGAGGCATTCTTCTGGGGTATGCCAAGCGCCTTTCTAGAATCCGCCCTGGCCTGGGGTCATAGGAGCCATAAACTAAGACGGCGACAGGGGCTTCAGGCTTCAGGGATCTCCCCAGGAGACAATAATCAGTTTCCCAGCTGGTCGTGGGTCGGTTGGACAAGCGATGGACAGACGAAACTCGCCAACCAGCCCCTGACCACAGAAAGCTTAGGTATCAGGTTCTACCGCGTCGCTGAAAACGGGAAATCATTGGTGGAATTGAAACAAGCTACCCAGTTCAATGACACGATTGATTTGCTCAGCGACGGCTCCAAGATCTCTGATCGTACATCCAGACCTTACAAAGTCTCGCTCGATGACCTGTCAGCGGACACCTCCGCCAACCTACAATCAGTTCTCTGTTTCTGGTCTGCATCCGCACATCTTGAAGTAACAAGCTGGTCTGCCAGTGGCGACTCTGCGTCTGATAGCCAGGAAATTGCCCTCTCCCAAGGACCCGACAGTACCACGCATGTGTCCTGGGCCCACCTGGCATCTTCATTAAAGCAAGGTGACAAAGTTGAAGTCATCGCTGTAGCCCAAAACAGAGGCAGCTGGGACTCCGGCCACATTGCTAATGGCGCTATAGGAGTCATGGTAATTTCCTGGGATGCCGGTGGTGCCACAGCGATTCGTGAAGGGTTTGCCTGGATGGCTATTCGAGCATGGACCGCGTTGAAAGATCGTAAATGGAAGCTAATTATCTTGCGGTAATATATAATAGTCAGGTTCGCACACCTGCTGCCACGCTATTATTTGAGGATCGGTAAAAATGGAGGGGGCCTTTGATGCCCACCTGTCGTACTGGCGCGGACTTAGAGTGTAAAGGCGATCAAGCAAACAATAAAATTTTAATTTCCTGCCCGGATAGACCATCTTTGAATTTATCTGCCCTTTTTCTCTCGTTATCTTTCTTTTAAAGTGACGATCGGAATTCTCCTTAATTGGCTGAAAGCTTCACCTTCAGTAGTTGAGGCTGCCCGGCTGGAAATGCGGATGTCGTGGTTGTGTAGGAGGCTGTTAAATCATCTCCCTTTAATCTATAAATGATCATGAGCAGTAAGCAACGAAGAGGTTACAAAGGTACGTATTGTCTGGTAGAGAGCCAAAGGAATTGTGACAGAGGTCACACACAACCTTGAACTTTGTTTGGCGAGATCAAAGTCCGCTGGCGTTTGGCGCTAAAGGCGTCTAGTTCGTTACGCCATTGGGCCGGAAAGAATAAGCTCTTGCGCCAAGACATGCTGGAAGGGACCCCTTGTATACAACTAATCATTTTCAATGATAGCTACAACGAAGCAGATGGCACTCATAGTGATAGATAGAGGAAATGTCGTTGGCACAAAGTATGAGCTTGACCACATATAAAGAAAAATAAGTTAATGATTGCAAAAAGAGTCACATGCTTCTTTGGCTTCATAAACATAATGCGGACACATATCAATAGATAAAAGAGGCAACTTCTTCTACTCATCTATCCTCAAATTTAAGAAGTAAGAAAATAAACAAAACAAACCTACCAACTTCTTCACACCTTCAAAAATCCCCCGTAATATGCATCCAACCACCCTCCCGCCTTTCTCCCAGCATCCTGCCCGCCTCTCCACCTCCCAATGCTCCCCACATACCCATCTGGGCGAACATTCACAATCGCTACCTCATCTGCAGCAACATCACCCAACCACTTCTCCGTGCACCCGCCACCAGACATGACATCATCAAGGTAGAAAGTCCATCGGCTGGCCCGCAACAGAGCCGGCAAAGCGGTAATCTCCGTATCAGATTTCGCAGTGCGCGTGACAAGCGCGTACGTGAATAGCTTGGACACGGGCGTGTATCTGTCTAGCTGGGCGAAGTCATCCAGCGGTGCAACAGCAGGTGGATTTGCGGCGTAGGACTTGTTAGCACGCATGCTGGCGAGCGAGAGGAAGGATGTTGATGACTGAATATAGTTGCACAGGCTTTCCAGGAACGCTGCGCCAGTCTGCAGGTTCGGGATGAACATGTAGATACGGAACTGGCTGAGGAGAGGGATGTCGAGCTGGATGTCGATGGGGTTTGCGTCGATGTAGCGGGAGACTCGTGCCGGTGTAAGTAGGCTGCCGGTCTTCAGGAGGTTGACTGATGAGCCTGGCGGTAGTGGCGTAGAGCCCACCTGGTTAAGGATGTTGGGCGCGTATTCTGCTCCGACGCCGGAGATGAAGCGGATGTTCTCGTCGAAGTTGCGCGCGAGAGCCTCATCGCCTTCACTGAATGCGTGGACGTGCTCGGTGTCGAAGTCGATGAGGTCTCGGGCGATTTTCTTCCGTTCCTCTTCGTATGTGGCGAGGAGGGAGCGGAAGGCTAGGTCTCGTGATACCAGGTTTAGCTTCCAGGCAAGATTGAAGCTGTCATGCATGCTGGTGTTTGCACCTTGGGCGGCAAGGGCAGAGTGAGTGTGACCGGCCTAGTTTGTTGTCAGTGAGTAAACGACAGCGACGTATCACTAACAGCAGACTTACATCTCCAGCGATGAAAAGCTGTAGTTCTGGATCTGCGAAATGATTGGCAACCCTCTGGCTCACGACGTAATTACCAAACCATTCTGTTTTGATGAAGTTAGGATGTGATGCCCAAAAGGGTAGGAATCGGATATCTAACCAATGCTCTTCCACTCCAAAGTATATGGTGCCATCGCTTCCCTGGCTTTGCTGATGACATATTCTGGCGTGGCAAGGGATCTATCCATCCGATCGCCGTCCTTCGAGCTAAGTTCGACATATAGCCGGGTCATATTGCGCTCTCTTGGGATCCAAAGAATGGAGCCAGCATGTTGTGTGCGGACAGCAACTTTGCTCCACAGGTCTGGGAAATCCGTCTCAATAACACCTAATGGATTCCATCTTGATTAGGGAAATGAAAATAATACATGTAGAGTTCAAACACACTACATACCGTCCAAGACCCCCCATGACGCATTTGTCATTTCACCAATCAGCTTGGCCTCAGGTATGAAAGGTCTAACTTTCGAGCGTGCGCCGTCGCATCCAACGAGATAATCCGCTTCTATCGTCTTAGGTGCCTTGGTTGTGGAGTCTTTATAGACGACATTGATTTTTCTGCCTATAGCTGAGCTTGAACATTCGATGAACGGACTGCTGCGCGAAACAGAAACTCCTCGCTCTTCCATGTCTTGGATCAGGATATCTTCTATCATCCCCTGATGCGCCAGCAAGATGTATGGATCTGACGCCCCGACATGATTTGGATAATGAATCTGGCGACCTGTACGCTGAAGAGGCTTGTCTGCTGTAGATTCCTGGGTGTAAAGGTTAGAGGTTTCATTCGTTCTCGTGCGGGTTGGAGCACCCCCGTAGCTTACCCAGAAAGATATATCGTAAACCTTGACCCCTTTTCTCAGGAGGTCGTCTGCAAGTCTGAGCTGCTTGAAAGTCTCGATGGTTTTTGGCTGCATTCCATCAGCTTTTCCAGTTGACGTCTTGTCTGGCCTGTCATCCAAAATAGTGGTTTTTATTCCATATCGGGCCAGATTTGATCTGCCTTCCTCTTGTCAGTGTCAAGGTCAAAATAATGAATAATTTTAAACACTAGGGCAATGGAAGTAAATAGCGGTGGTTTGGGGGGGCCCCGGGGGGGGGGGGGGAGAAAGGAAAAAAAAAAGGAAAAAAAAAGAAAAAAAGAAAAAGAAAAAGAGAGATAGAGAGAGAGAGATCTACGGAGTACATACGCAAGCATCAAACCTGACGGGCCTGCACCCACCACAGCTACCGTTGTGGCCGGCAGCGGGCTTTGCACGCCGTCATGGTCCATGAATCCTTCACTATCAGCGCTGGGTCCCATCTTGAGCTTTTTCGGAGAGACTTGTGACTGCGCTCTTTTCATGATAGAGCGATGCAAGCAAATTCTTGGGTTATATTAAAATAGGAGAAAGCCTCAAGACGATCGCGCCACATGGGTTACGCTTCCTGTGAGTGTTAGCAGCATCAAGCTACGGCACCCTTTCCGGCAGAACGGTTGCTGCTCACTCTTGGTTTCAGCGCTAGAACTTCCTTTGTCAGACAACCAAAGTGTCAAGAGTGTCATCACATCATGGCGCCACTGCGAATTGCAGTTGCCCGAGAAGATCAGACATCAGGGCCTGTTTCTCAAGGTGGTTGTCTACACTGCTGTTTCTGTGTTACCCCTCACTGGATCGGAAGCTGTTGTGGATGCTGATACTAGGCTCAGACGGGGCAGGGTCCTTCCATCGTAGCAGTGATGGTTAGCGCTGTGGAGCCCGAAGCAAGGGGCGGTTTAGTTAAGCACTTTTGAGTAGGGGAGGTCCCACACTCCAGTTAAGAAGCCCCCATTTTTGGTTAAATCCCATCCATACGGACAGCGCTGTATTGATACAGAAATATTCCGTTATTACAGTACACACCTGACCGTACGGAACACCCCAGCCGGGCTCGGCAATCGGCAGTTGGAAAGCCGAATCGCTATCGGGCTGCCGTCCAGGGCTACCTCGGCGATCGCAACCTCGATACCAGAGAGCAGCTTTGTATGATGCCAACAAAAAAAGGCAAAAAGGAAAGGAAAAGAAAAGAAAAAGAAGGAGGTAAAAAAGGGTTAGAGAAGGTTGGTGAATATTTATTTTTCAATTCAGAGGATATTTTTCGCATAGAAAACTAACGAACGTACTCAGATCACAACAAAAGTAGTTGCCGTCAATCACAATGAGCACCCTGAAGCCATGGGAAGAAATTGTCGCCAAAAAAAGATCGCTCAGGGACAAGGCTCTGAATCCTTATTTTGTCGATGACATCCATCTCAGGCCCGAAAGAGTAGCAAATGTTGCGGATAGGTCTCGTATCGAGCCCCAGGCTGCTCAGGCTATCACTGAAATCGACAGCATCGAGCGATTGCATGAGTCCGTCGGCCGGGGGGAATTCACTGCTGAGGATGTCACGCTGGCATATATCAAGAGGTTGGCAAGCTTCTCCTATACCAATCAATCTACACCTCTCTTGTCGTGTTTGTTTGTTTATGTTAGGAAGGAAAGATTCTTCCCCTGGATTTCATTTCTGACTAAATAAAAACCAACCCCATAGAGCAACAGTGGCACATCAACTGGTTAGTACGCGCGATACTAGATCGCCAACATATTTAAAATTTCTTATTTTGGCGCTCGTTGATAAGATTCCTCCTAATGAGCGCGGACGGGCCATTTCTGCATGTAGACGAATGCCCTCACCGAAATAGTATTTGAAGAAGCGCTCCAGCAAGCCCGGGAGCTTGATAAATCGTTCAAAGCAACGGGCAAGGTTAAGGGGCCGCTTCATGGCATTCCTGTCACACTGAAGGACCAGTTTGATCTCAAGGGCGTCGATTCAACACTGGGGTATGTAGGGCGTTCCTTCTCGCCGGCGGCTGAAGATGCTGCTCTGGTGCAGATTCTGAAGAGCCTAGGGGCTATCATTCTTTCAAAGACAAACCTACCCCAGAGTATCATGGTGCGTATATGATAGTGTCTCAAAAGAATATGATTCCCGTACTTATAGATAGTTTTAGTGGTGTGAAACCGAAAATCCCCTTTTCGGCCTGACTGTGAATCCACGCAACTCTAAATTCACCCCTGGGGGCTCGACTGGTGGAGAAAGTGTCCTTCTCGCCCTCCATGCCTCGATTTTGGGATTTGGAACAGATATTGGCGGCAGTATTCGGATCCCTCAGCATATGTTAGGCTTATATGGGCTGAAACCGAGTGTAAGTTTCATCGATCCATAATCACTACCTGCCACAACATATCTCCATCTGTATATATTCTGACAATCTCACGGAACCAGAGCGGCCGTTTGCCCTACTATGGCACCGCCGTCTCCACGGAGGGTCAAGAACACGTTCCGTCCTCTATCGGGCCCATGACCCGCGATCTCTCGTCCATAATATACATCTCCCAACACCTCGCGAACTCGCAGCCATGGGCCCTCGACCCGCGCTGCGCCCCGCTCCCCTGGCGCAACGAGGTCTTCACCGAAATCCAATCACGCCCCCTCGTCATCGGCCTCACCCTCGACGACGGCGTCGTAAAAGTCCACCCCCCAATCCAGCGCGTCCTGCACGAACTATCCGCCAAGCTCCAAGCAGCCGGCCACGAAGTCATCCCCTGGAACACAGACGGCCACCAAGAATGCATCGATATCATGGATACCTTCTACACCGTCGACGGCGGCGAGGATATCCGCAACGACGTCATGGCCGCCGGCGAGCCGTTCCTCCCCCATGTTGAGAGGCTCGTTAACAGGGGCAAACCCATCTCCGTCTACCAATACTGGCAGCTGAACAAGCGCAAGATCGCCGCGCAGAAGCGGTATCTGGATAAGTGGAACTGGGTGCGCGGGCCGGAGTCGAATCGGATAGTGGATGTGCTGCTCGCGCCGACGATGCCGCATGTCTCCGTCCCGCATCGGTGCTGTCGCTGGGTCGGGTATACGAAGGTGTGGAACTTTTTGGATTATTCGGCGCTTACGTTTCCTGCTGGTGAGGTTTGTAAGGAGAGAGATAGACTTCCTGTTACGCCCTACAAGCCGCGGAACGAGCTTGATGAATGGAACTGGGGGCTGTATGATGTGGACACGATGGCAGAACACCCGGTTAATCTGCAGATTGTGGGGAAGAAATTGGAGGAGGAGAAAGTGTTGGGTGCTGCTGTGGTTATCGAAAAGGTTATGCGGGGATCGTAAGAATTGGTTCTTGAGATATATTAACTATTCTTTCCAACGGCACTGGATATTATATAGATATAGAATAGTCTTATTATCGTCTCGTCCCTACATGAAATGAATGAGAAAGAGTTGAAATAAAAGCTTAGAAAATAAACTAGCAAGCGAATTTGAAGAATAAGCATACTGTCACGTCGACATGGGATTTGATAGCTTCCATTTAATTTATATACAGGTGATCATTCTCCTTGACCAAATGAGTTACCATTTCGTGACGCCTCCATCCACACAAATATCCTGCCCAGTCATATACGAACTAGCATCACTTGCCAGAAACACACAAGCGCCCCTAATATCATCGGGCTCTGCTAACCGGTGGTTCATGATATCGGTCTTCCACTTCTCAATGAGGTGAGGGAACTATCATGAGCGGGTTAGATCACATCATTCTAGGGGGGAAGAGATGGGAAAATTACTCACTGCAGCCGTCATCTCCGTCCGAACATATCCAGGCGATACAGAATTAACTCTAATACCCTATTTCAAGTAGACACAGCCATCAGTTTACATTTCCCAAAATCAATCAAGAGAGAAGAAACGAAAGACAAGAACATACATAAGGCACCAACTCCTTCGCAATAGCCGGACACATCGCCTTCACAGCCCCCTTGGTCCCACAATACGCCGAGCTATTCTGATCCTTAATCGCCATGTAGCTCGCAATGCTCGCAACCAGCACGATGCTACCGCACTTGGTCTCGTTGGCAATCATCTGCTTAGCGGCCAGCTGCGCTGTGAAAAACAGGCCCATGACATTTGTGTCGAGCAGTTCCCGGTGCGCTTCGTAGGTGTATTCTAAGAAGGTAAGATGTCTGTTTATGCCCGCGCAGGGCACGCAGATGTCTAGTTTGTTATCGAAGTCGATGCTGAAATTGGCAAACCCGTCTTCTAGGGAGTCTTTGGAGCTGACGTCGACTCTTTTTTTTTGTCAAGTTGAAAATGGTTGTCAGTGCTTTCTTAAGAGGGAATTGATATATTTCTGATTTTGTTATATTGATTTATGCCCTTACTTGTAGAATGCAGTTCTGACGCCATATTTATTGGCAATGCTGTGAAATCCTTCAGCTGGATCTATTACGTCGAAAATAGCGACGTCTGCGCCAGCTTCTGCGAGGCCCTCTGCAAAGGCCAGGCCGCATCCTCGTGCGCCGCCTGTTACCAGAGCTGTACGGCCCTTGAGAGAGAACTGAAATAGGATTTTAGATGGTGGTTAGCTATAGATAGACATCTGAAAGGCGAAGGCCAGATGAGGTACTTGGTGGATTCCTTACTCTAGACATTGTTAAGGAGTTGAAGTATATGGATAACTATGAGTTGCTGAGTTTCTTCAAATTCACGAATAGATATGGATTTTGCCTGAATTACACTGTCCTTTGATTCCTGGGCAACTTAGCTCTTACAAAAGTAGTAAATAAAGGTAAATCAAAAATAAAAGGAAGCTGCCCCTCCTCCAGTCACAGAGCTTGCACTATCTAAATAATTGATCATCTCTCCTATGTATCTCTTCTACAAACCGTGCCGCTTAGAAATGATAACCAACGCCGAGTGGAACCAAGCCCCGGTTCTATATCACTCGCCATCTGATTGCTGCTAACTACGCCGTGGCCATAATTGAAATCCTTTCTGAACTTTCACAGACCCTTCTCGCCATCCCACCAAACCCCCATTTCTCGATCATGGCACCTAGCCCTAACTTAGTCAATTTGTTGCAACCCCGCCCTCGGACATTGAGACTCCAACGGCAAGATGCAGACGGCATGCTGCGGGGTGTATTATTTCTAGTTGAACCCAAGAGTTGGCACGAAGATTCGCGGCTCTCAGGATACAGGTGGCTCTTTTGTTCTGAATCAGTTGCGGACTAAAGTCTCATATCTGTGGAAGTGATCGGTCATTTTTCCTATTTATCCCTTAAGCTTTTTCATTTGAATTTGACGGTCTTCCTCGTACTTCTCGATCTAAGAACTCGTATCTGCGGGACAATTTTGAAGTAAAATATAAACCCTTTGGCATTAAACATATCGAAAACTCAGCGTATCTACCACCAAGCAACAAAATGGGCAAAAAGCGAGTTCTAGTCAGCTACGGCGTTGACATCGATGCCGTCGCAGGTTGGCTAGGGTCGTACGGCGGTGAAGATAGCACAAATGACATCAGTCGAGGTACATGTACAAACCAAAGAGAAATTACTCTGAACAACACTCCCATTCCAACCTTGTAGGCCTTTTTAAAAGATATTCCTCTTCTATCTAACACATCATCTACTGCAGGCCTCTGGGCGGGCACAATCGGCGTCCGCCGCCTCCTCAAACTCTTCGAAAGATACAACATCAAAGCCACCTGGTTCATCCCCGGCCACTCCCTGGAAACCTTTCCAGAAGAATGTGCCATGGTGCGCGATGCCGGCCACGAAATAGGGCTCCACGGCTACTCGCACGAGAACCCGTCCGACATGACCGTTGAACAGCAGCGCGACGTCCTCGACAAGACCTACCGCCTCCTCACAGACTTCTGTGGCAAGCCGCCCCGGGGCACCGTGGCGCCCTGGTGGGAGACGAGCGCCGAGGGCACGGATCTGCTGCTTAGCTATGGCATTGAGTATGACCATTCGATGGCGCATCATGACTGCCAGATGTACTGGCTGCGAACGGGGGATACGTGGACGAAGATTGATTATACGAAGAAGGCAAAGGACTGGATGAAGCCGTTGGTCAAAGGCCAGGAGACCGGGCTTGTGGAGATCCCGGGCAGCTGGTATATTGATGACTTGCCGCCGATGATGTTTATTAAGAATTCGGCGAATAGTCATGGGTGGGTGAATCCGAGGGATATTGAGGACATTTGGAAGGTGAGTGTCTATTTTCTTCTTCTTTTTTGCATTTTTGCCCATCCCGGATTCAGCACCATCTGAGCATTCTTTTCTAATGTCTTGTTGTCCTTTTTGTATAGGATCACTTCGACTATTTCTACCGTGAATACGATGAGTTTATATTTCCCATGACGATCCACCCCGACGTCTCTGGCCGGCCACATGTCCTTCTCATGCACGAGCGGTATGTTCCTTTTTTTTCTTTTTACTTTTTCGCCCCTAGTAGATAGAATACTGACTACAGACAACTAATCTAGCATTATCGAGCATATCAACAAGCACGAGGGAGTGGAATGGGTAACATTCGAGCAGATGGCAGACGATTTCAAGAGTAAAAACCCAGTTCCAGCAGGGGCAAAGATGCCAGCGCCGCGCGGGGAGATTCTGAAGAACCCGCCATTGAATCCATGATTAATTGACCAGCTAATACTACCAAAAAACCACCTGGAGATAGTTGTTGGTATAATTTGATCATTCTTAGTTAATTGAGCAAGTTCCATAATCACAAGTCGATAACGAGCCACTTTTCTGCAACTACCCATGCCACTCTTGGAAATAATGTAGCCACATTCATTTTCCAATATTTTTGCCCATCTTTTGTTTTAACTACATAAGTTATATAGTAGTATATCTGCCCCGCAATGGAAATTAGCTTTCAGCCAGTGACGTAACGCGGTTCGAGCTTAAAAAATAGAGTTTGCTGATTGCGGGGGTGCGTATTTTATTCCCGGGGGCGTGTAAATTGTGTAAAATTAGTAAAATACACAACCCCCATTCTTGAACCCCTGTTGTCACTGTATCGTATCGGCGGTATTCTCGTTCAATTACTTCAAATACTGTATTATACATACACATACGAAAAGCCGCCGAGGTATCAAGAATACATAGCATGTACCCCTGATAAAGCACTATCTCATCTCTGCAGAGATCTATACGGCGGTTGCCCTCCACTCTGCCATGTTCCATTTTTGGGGCAAGCAGGACGTACGCTCGTTCCGCTGCGGCAGAGTGGCAGAGAATGGTAGTGCACACCAACCGTGGGATGCTTGCTGCTGCTGCTGCTGCTGCGTTGCGACACACTAAGCCCTGGTCGTCAATGGTCAGTTGTGGTGATTACCGGCACTCGAGATTAGCTTGCTCAAGGTTGGGCGGGCTTGAGGGCTTGAGGGTTGCGGGCGGGGAGCTCTCCTTATTTCTGTTTTGTCCTGGCCTTGTTTGATGTTGGAGCTTCCACCTTAAGAAACCAGGAACGACGACGGCTGAGAAGCAAGAGGTAGAGGAACGTACCTTAAGATGTATCATCTCATACGTTGCTTTGGGAGCTACAGCTGGTTTGTTTCTGGGGATTTTTAGAACGAAAGAACTACATCTACTTGTTTTGCTTACTCTCGCTGGACGCCAAAGTCTTCCTGGTGGCTTGTTTCCTCGTCCCTCAACTTGAAAAAGCTATCGGCAGATCTTCAAAAACGGAATAGAAGAAGTGACAGGATATACCCTATTCGAACAGGGAGCTATAGTAAAGATATCTTCAAGTTCCCTGCTTGCGTTTATCTTCTGTTTTCCTGTTCATTCATACTCCGCGCAATATGTCTCCCATACCTGTCAAACAGATAGAACACCACGATGAATCATGTAAACTAAAGGTTTCCTCTCCCCCCCCCCCAATAACCCAATAAACCCCAATACCACCGCTGTCTAACAAATCATCACCCCCTCAGATCGTAATCGTCGGCGCCGGCCTGGGCGGCCTGGGTGCTGCCATCTCCTGCCTTCTCGCTGGCCACAACGTCACAGTTCTCGAAGCAGCCCCCCAGATCGCCGAAGTAGGCGCCGGCATCCAAGTGCTCCCCAATAGCTCACGCGTCCTCACCACCTGGGGCCTATCGGAGACGCTATCCAAATATGCCACATGGCCGCGCCAGTGCAACTTCCGTAGCTGGAAGGGTGAAATCATCTCATCGCTGGACTTCCATGAGTCCCAGTCCCAGTTCCCCGGGACCTGGTATGGCGATTTCCACCGCGCGTCGCTGCACAAGTGTCTCATGGACCGGGCGGTGGAGCTGGGCGGCGTGCTGCAGTGTAATGCTAAAGTTGTGGATGTGGTTGTGAGTGCGGATGGGACGGCTGCGACAGCGGTGATGGAGGATGGGAGGCGGGAGGAAGGGGATTTGTTGATCGGTGCGGACGGGGTGTTTAGTCGGCTGTCGGAGATTTTGCTGGGGAGACCAAATCCACCGACGAAGACGGGAGATTTGGCGTATCGGCTTCTCTTGTCGACGGAAGAGATGTTGAAGGATCCTGAGCTCAGGGGGTTTGTGGAGGAGCCGCAGGTTAATTATTGGTTGGGGCCAGATGCGCATGCTGGTAAATCACGGCGACCCCCCCCTTTTCTTTTATTTGTGTTGGTTTTATGAGAAATTTTACGATGCTAATCTTCCGGATAGTGAACTATGTCCTGCGAGGAGGTGAGCTGTTCAACATGGTTCTCCTAGTACCGGACGATATACCAGACGACGGCGCTGCAACAGTAGAAGGAAACGTAGAAGAAATGTGCGCAGCGTTCAAAGGATGGGATCCCAGGTGTGTCAATATTTGCCTCAGCTCTTACCATACACATCATCCGCCTAATTGACTAACTCTTAAAAAACCTCCATAGAATCGAGAAACTCCTTAGGCTCTGCAAATCTGTCCACAAATGGCGCCTCTGGTACCGCCTTGGTGAACACGACTGGACCCATCCATCCGGCTCGTGGACTCTACTCGGAGATGCGGTGCACGCCACTCTCCCCTATCTCGCATCAGGGTAAATGGCCCCTTATTTTCCACTCCCCAACCAGATCCAAATAACCACAAAATACCTAACGCCCCCCACCCCCTTACAGCGCCGGCATGTCCTTCGAAGACGGCAGCATCCTAGGAGAATGTCTATCCCGCCTCCCCAACACCCCCAACACAGATAAGAAGTCCCCCGCCTTCCTCGCGCAGAAACACCATGCACTCGCCGTGTATGAAGCGTGTCGCAAGACGCGGACGAAGATGGTCGTCGAGCGCGGCAACGTGCAGCAGTACCTATACCACCTACATGACGGGCCGGAGCAGGAGGAGCGCGATCAGAAGATGCGCATGGTGCCGACGGAGGAAGGGGAGGCGCTGGCGTGGAGAGATCCAGGGCTTGCGCCGAAGTTACTCGGGTATCAGTGTGAGAAGGATGTAGGTCTTTTTTCTTTTTTATTTGCCGCCTACGCTCACCCCTTTTTCTCGGGGTTATATAAGTTTTCCCCTTGAACATACACGCCTGCCATGCAATCCCCTATAGTGAACCAACCTGAACTAACAAATCAAACCCAGGTCGAATATCACTGGAACATCGTATCGGTCCCGTCGTCGAACGTGAGAAAGTCAGACACCTGAGGAGGCGCGGCTTTGAAATGACAGAAATTTTTCGATGGGATGGTTCTACGCAAATGCGAAGATCAGACGTGAGATAATAGATGGAGAGAGAAGGAGAGAGCGAGCTGTTTAGGCCAATAAGAGTAACGAATTCATAGAATTACTGGACAGATATGACATGATGAACAGGTTTTTTTTTTTTTTTTTTTAAGTGGAACTTGATAGTTAGTTACCTACTGTAGTTAGTTACTTGATGCTCATGGACATTTCTGGGGCGTAGTGACTGACACAAGAACGGACATGACTAGCATGTAGCTAAGAAATAGTACTCCTCTTGAAGCATTATTTATGTTACTCCGTCTTGCCTGAGAATGCGGCATCTTGTCCAAAAAACAATTATCATAGTATCCCTTTTCGATATCCCAGACAGTAAGCCCTAATATCCGCTTTGGGAAGTAGTTCAGGAAAAGACCCCGAGAGAGAGTGACGACGTTTCCAGATGATTAGATCTTTTCTCTCTCTCTTTTCACTTCTAGTTCTGTATTCTTTTAGTTATTTTATATTTCTTGTTTACCACAGATTTATTATATAAATGGCTCTCGAATTGAATTTAATCCATAACTTCCAAGGTTCCCAGCTCGCACACGTGATCGCGACGCGTCGAGGCTAAATTGATTTTCCGCAACCGCGTCAGAAGGAACAAGACCAGACGAGCGAGAGTAATGGTATAAACCACAGTGCTTGAAGTATTATTCCACATTTCAGATTTCACCATGGATAAGCCAGAATCGTCATCAGCCCAGGCGAAGAGAGGCCTGCAGGAAAACCTCGCTGGAGCCCCAGCAGACTATGAATTGCCATGGTGAGAGCACCCTCCCTTTTCCCATAGATACACAGTAGAATCAGAGGAGGACTGCGTGATATAGGAACAATTAGGACGAATTGACAGCTAATTGCACACATATATACATATATACAGGGTTGAGAAATACCGGCCTGTGTTCCTAGATGACGTCGTCGGAAACACAGAGACCATCGAGCGGCTAAAAATCATCGCCCGCGATGGCAACATGCCGCATGTTATCATCTCGGGCATGCCAGGCATCGGGAAGACGACTTCGATCCTCTGTCTGGCGCGACAGATGCTGGGGGACGCTTACAAGGAGGCTGTTTTGGAACTTAATGCTAGTGACGAGAGGGGTATGTTATTGTTGCCCATTTTGCCTCAATGTGTGGGATGGGCGATGGGGATCAGTTATGCTCACTCGGCTGATCTCTCTCAGGCATCGATGTGGTTAGAAACCGAATAAAAGGCTTCGCGCAGAAAAAAGTCACCCTCCCCCAAGGTCGACATAAACTGGTCATCCTCGATGAGGCAGACAGGTTCGTAGACACTTCCCGTCCCTCCTAATTAATTCAAAATCGCGTCCGCTTTCCATTTCCCATCCACATCCACTGACCCAGACCATATTACTTAACAGCATGACATCCGGCGCCCAGCAAGCCCTCCGTCGAACGATGGAGATCTACTCCACAACCACCCGCTTCGCCTTCGCCTGCAACCAATCGAACAAAATCATCGAACCCCTCCAATCCCGCTGCGCCATCCTGCGCTATGCCCGCCTCACAGACGCACAGGTCCTCAAGCGGCTTACGCAGATCTGCGAGGCGGAGAACGTAAAGCATTCCGAAGACGGGCTTGCAGCGTTGATATTCAGCGCGGAGGGCGACATGAGACAGGCCATCAACAATCTACAGAGCACGTGGGCTGGGTTCGGGTTTGTGAGCGGCGATAACGTCTTCCGGGTCGTCGATAGTCCGCATCCGGTTAAAGTGCAGGCGATGATTAAGGCGTGTTGGGAGGGGAGGATCGATGTGGCTTTGGATACGTTGAACGAATTATGGTAAACTCCCTCTTCCTGATTTTTTCAATTACCTGTACTTTTTACATATGACTGACAAACATCTTATTCCGGTATTCAGGGATCTCGGCTACTCCTCGCACGACATCATCAGCACGATGTTCCGCGTGACGAAGACGATACCAACGTTATCTGAACACGCCAAGCTAGAATTCATCAAGGAAATCGGCTTTACGCACATGCGGATATTGGAAGGGGTGCAGACGCTCGTGCAGCTCAGCGGCTGCGTAGCAAAGCTCTGTCGGATCAACATGAAGCCTGAGAGCTTCATTCCTTCGTCGTCGAAGAAGTAAAGGGCCCCGTTGAAGTAACGGCCTGACCTGGCCTACCTACAAAAATTACCAATATATTGCTCCACTTGCCGATGTGTCTTCCCTCCATCTAGTCTAGCTTACGCGCAGAGAAGAATCGAAAGAAGTTGGGGGGGTTTGGGGATCGGGGATATCGGGCGGTAGGTAGGGGATCATTCATATTCCCTCCAAAACTCCAAAATGACGACCACGGGGATGAAATTAAATTAATTAGATTGATGGATGGATTGGGTTACCTGTTGGTAATGACATCGCTACTACTCCCCTGTCTTCAGGCGCTGAAATCTAGATCGGTCGGGTCCGTGGAACTTGTTGCCAGCCAACAACAACTGCAGCCGAGGGGGAAGAGAAATAATAATGACATTAATGACAGATTTACTTTATTTCTACATATCCGTTTCGGGTAAGATACACCAGAAGTTCAGTGACGGGTTAGTTGATGAAATAATATACTTATTATTATATTATATTATGTCCTCACCTCACCATGCCTCTCCTTTTTAGTCGATGGTTAAATAATAGTGTGTGGGTATGGATGTATATGATGTTGAGTAACATATTGTTGTTTGTTCCCTTTGGACACAGCAATATATAGTTAATATTTAATACGACTTCATGGCCAGAGCGGGCCAGTCCAAACGGCTTGTCTCGACTCTCCAAGGGGTTCGAACGGGTTTGATACGACTCATACGAGGCGCGACAGACTTGACAGACTGACGAGACAGGAGCTCAGAAGGAAGATGGGAGAAGACTCGTCTCAGCGGTCTGGTTTGGGGAATTTATCTACAGCTGTTATACGTATTTAACTTGTTCATGGGCATGACAAATAAACTGACCATGTTGTCCTTTTCTTCTCATTCTCATTCTCTATAGTCTATATCCAGAATGACGCTCTATCTCCATCTTCATAAGCTCAAAGTCTGTTCCCCCGCAAACCACCACCACTCACCACTCTGAGTATCTTGAGTTGACTCTCCCAGTAACTAGGTGGCTGAGAAGCTAGGCAGGCGTTAGGTTATAGTTAGTTAACTATAGGTTAGGGCCGAATAGCGCCGAGAAGCCGCCTTCAGGTGCTCGTATTTGCCTTTTTTTTAAAAGAAAAATCCTGTTTGGCATAAATAGTTCGCTCACCATGGATTCTGTTGTTGTTACGTATTCTCATTTTATTTTTTTATTTATACCCATTTTTATTTACTCTTTCTTCCGTACAGATTTTATTTGTGTATATAAATTCCACTATCTTGTATGAAACCGACTTCTCTTCATCCCACACCACACCGTTATTATACTCCGTATCCCAATTCTATTCCATTCCACCTTCCGCCCAACGATTGATCTCTCTGTCATTTAGATATCGCTTTCCATTGCCCGAGCCGCGGGTAATTGTTCGGAGCTGGTCAATCACATCGCTGCTCCTTCTGCAGTCCGGCAATTCCAGCATCATTTCTGAATCGATTGATCAACCCAAGGAGCAGCTGTTTATACACATGTATATACATACATACATACGGAGAGAGCTATAGAATAGCCGTGCGCCATGCGCGGTACCGCCGCCATCTGCACGCTGGGTACAGCGCTGCTGTCCGTCTTGCCCGCCATCAATGCCATCGAACTCGTTGCAAGAGACTCCCCGAGCGTGGTTGGCCTCGTCATCGAGCGGAAACATGTCACCAACCCGATTCAAAGAGATCAGCTAAGAAAAAGGAGAAGTAAAATTGTTGAACAGCTGCTGGACAATGAGGTATGCACTTCGCTTTTCCTCTTCCATATCTATCACATCCCTCCCCAGAGTCTCTGTGATTGAATATATACATATATAAATATATATACTAATCACGGCGCATAAATTGCACATACACCAGGAAACGCTATATTTCTGCAACATAACGCTGGGAACTCCAGCGCAGCACGTGCGTATGCACATCGACACGGGCAGCAGTGATCTCTGGTGCAATTCTCCGAACTCAGATCTGTGCACCCAGAGTGGAGATCCTTGCGCAGAGGGAGGGACTTATGACCCGAAAGCCTCATCTACCTATCAATTTACCAATTCCCTTTTCAATATCTCGTACCTCGACGGCTCCGGCGCAAGCGGCGACTATGTGACGGATACGCTGAGCATTGGGGGTGTTTCGTTAAACGACTTCCAGTTCGGGGTGGGATTAGACTCTACTTCGCAAGGTATGTGCTTGGATTTATATTCGATAAATAGGAGAAGGGGGGAGTCAAGGAACAAGAATTTGAGGGAAAACTATCTAACCTTTCAAAACAGAGGGAGTCCTCGGTATCGGATACCCTGCGAACGCAGTACAACCGGCTCGGTATGGTCAAGCACCTTACCCAAACCTCCCCTTCGCCCTCGTCGACCAGGGACACATAAAATCACCTGCCTATAGCCTCTGGCTCAACGACCTCGATGCTAGCACGGGTAGCATCCTCTTCGGCGGCGTCAACGCTGCGAAATTCCACGGCACCCTACAATCCCTCCCCATCCTCCGAAGGGGTGGCCAATACATCGATCTCGTCATCGCTCTAACGGGCCTATCCATCTCAGGGAACGGCGTTGACCAAGAACTAAGCACAGGCAGCATGCCCGTCCTTCTCGACTCCGGAAGCAGTCTCTGCTACCTCCCCGATCAACTCGTCAGTGCCATCTACAGATTCGTCCAGGCCATCTATGACCCATCATCCGGCGCCGCCTTCATCCCCTGCCGCTTCAAATACGCAGACGTAACCCTAAACTTCCGATTCTCCCCCACCCTCACCACCGCCGTCCCCATGAACGAACTCATCCTCGACATCGGCACCGCGGTCGGCATCGACAGGCCGTCCTTCAGCAACGGCGAGCCAGCCTGCCTCTTCGGCATCGCGCCCTCTGGCGGCGGCACCTCCATCCTCGGTGACACGTTCCTCCGCAGTGCCTACGTCGTCTACGACCTGGGCAACAACCAGATCTCCCTCGCCCAGACCAACTTCAACTCCACGGGCAACAACGTGCTGGAGATCGGCACGGGGCCCGGTGCCGTGCCCTCGGTCACTGGCGTGTCTAGTGGTGCACCGCCGCGGACGACGGCTACGACCACGAGCTCGAAGGCGTGGGCGCGGCCGACGGCACGGCCGGATGTGAAGATAGGGGCGTTGGCGGGGTTGGTGGGCGTGGGTGCGGGCGTGGTTTTCGGTGTAGTATAGTATAATAATGATGATTATGAAGTTTGGAATAGTATTTTATCTCTGCGTTTTTTGTTTGGTTACTTTGGGAGTCCTGGTTATTTTGGAATTTTATTCATTTCCCCCTTTCCCCCCTTTTCCCGGTCATTTTATCCCCTTCTTGCATAAAACGTTTGGGAGGCTTGATATGCATTTCTCCTCTTTTATTTTCTTGCCTTTCTTCTGGTTGTCATCTTTCTGTCTTATCATTTAATTGCTTTGAACGCACACTCCAGGCACAGACTCACAACACAGTTCATACCTTGCTCTGCACACGATATGTATGTACTATTCATGAAACCAGTGCATACGAAACTGGAGACCACAAAAGTGGAGATAGAAAGGGAATATGAGGCTCTTGATAGAGGTAAATAAAAAAAAGGCGCGGACGCAATTCTTTTCTCTCTCTCTCTCTCTCTCTCTCTCTTTGATTTTTTTTTTTAAATTCGCTTTCTAGTCCTCAAGTTCTATTTAACTCTTGATATTGAAAGAAGAAGAAAAAATAATAATTAATTAAATAAAGTATAGAATAAAGAAGGGAAGGAAACAATGTTCTGATCTTCTTCATCATCAATTCACTTGCAGAGGAAATATAACCTCTAGGTATATTTTTGCAAATCATCCTAAGAGAACGAAAAGGAGAACAAAAAGAAAATTAAAGAATAAAACTCTCCGAATTCCTCGCGTGGGCCTCCCAACCATTTTAAATATTTGAACCGTAGACAGCCAACTAACTAGTAGCTACTTGGGCACTCGAATGATCAGCGAGCTTGTGGGAGAGCCGCAGCTTCAAGATCCATGGACGTGGAACCTTCAACCTGAGAGAGAGAGAGAGAGAGAGGGTGCTTTAGGGCCGACCCAATTGGCGGGCCAGGGTTATGATCTTGAGGAGGTGGAGAGGGCGGATTTTGAGACTTTCTGTCTTTCTATTGCGTTCCTTTTCGCATTTCGGAACGAGAGTTTAACAGATGGGATCTGGGAGGGCGGTAAAAACATCTGCTTCGTCTGTACACATGTATTCCGAAGCCGTTATTATCGTAGATTATATATATGTCACTTTTTTAATGTACCGTACAAGAACCCAACTGCTTCTATATATTATACAAACAAACAGCTCTCTTCCTCTATATCATACATCATACATCATATCTCACTTCTCCAGAAACAAGCCCCGTCTAACAACCACCGCCCTAGCCCCTCCATCCTCATCCTCATCATCATCACCATGACAGTCTCCCCGTTCCTCAAACCCCAGACCAAAACCATAACTATTACACCCCCAAACCTCCACACTCACCTCCTCACCATATCCCAATCCCCCCAAAAGCCTCCTAGCCATATCCGAAACCCTCCCCGCCTGCCCCTTATCCCCACACTCAAGAACAACAAGATCAGCACCCACCCACGACAGACCCATGGAGAGTATATGTGGGTAGAAGATATCTTCTTGCCGACTGGCAGCTGCTATCTCGTTGATGTTTATCACCGGCTTCTGTTCGGATGTCGGGTGGGTAGAAGGTACCGCAACAGTAGCAGCGGCGTTATTACGATTGCAAACAGTGGTTGAAGATGGAGCAGTATCCCTGCCGTATTCCGCCGTGTTCGTGCCCGTTGCCGTTCTGTGATGACGTTGATGATGATGATGGATGATGGCCCGAGGAGGCGGCACGAGGGCTAGCTTTGGCTCGAACTTGCGCACGCTGCGGGTTGTGGTGCCGTTTGTGAATTGCGCCGGGGAGATATACGGTGGGTTGGAAAGGAGGATTGTTATTGTATTTGTATCCGTTTCTGGCGATGTTGATGTGGGCGTTGAAATGTTGCTGCTGCTGCTGCTGCTGCTGAAATTACCTCCAGCAGCTGTGGTGAAATGAGCAAGTTTCCCCCCTCGCCATACCGCATTTGATGCTAAGTGCAGATTGTCGCCTGCCCCAAGCTCGGAAAGTACATCGCCTCTCACAAACGAGACCTCTTCCCTTGCCCTTTCATCTAGCCTTCCAAGCTTGATATTATGCTTGAGATTATCTCGTGCTAATCTCAGCGCGCGGGGGCTTATGTCCACGCCGCGTATTTGTAGCTTTGGGAATACGGGACTGAGCAGGGAGTGGAGAAGGAGGGGAATGCAACCGGTGCCTGTGCAAAGATCAAGAATGCGGAGATTTGGTAGGTGTTTAAATCTATCGTGCTCGTGCTCGTGCTCGTGCTTATGCTTTCGTTTGGCGGGCGCAAATTTGGAGAGTAGCAGGTTGGCCACGCAGGTCGTGTATGCTTCCGTTTCTGGCCTTTGATAATTAGTATGCATGGAAATTGAACACCTACTTGGAGTAAATATATGCATTATAAAAAGAAAACACCAACCTCGGAATCAACACCCCCCTCCGGCAGAGTATTTCCAACTCGCCAAACGGCTGATCGCCCAGGATATACTGTAGCGGTACACCCCGTGCACGCTGCTGCACCATCCTCCGCAGCCTCAATTTTGAGCTCGCATTATTATCGTCCTTGCGATGCCTCCCTTGAGCCATTGGCCCGCTCTCTGCCTTCCTACCATGCCAGTCCCCGTTTTTACTTCCCCAGCCCTCAGCACGGGCGTACTCGCTTAGCCATCTCAGCTCGTTCTGGGCTGAGGGCAGATCTCGGCATTCGCGGAGAAGGAGGGGGAGGAGGGGGTTTAGTGAATATGCGAGGCGGAGGAGGGAGGGGGATAGACGGGGCATTTATTATATACCTGGAGAGTGTATATATATGTATATAATGTAGGTTGACCTGGTTTTAGTTGGACGGTTAGTATCAGCAGTTATAATTCCAAACTCCGAAGTTTGCCAGCATCCAGCGTCGGTGGTCCAATGGTTAAGATTCGACATTCCCATGATCACTGCGGAATATATCGATAGTGTCAGCTTCTGACTATGTCGAGACCCGGGTTCGATTCCCGGCCGACGCATCTTTTTTATTATTTATAATTTTATTTATTTACTTACTTATTTATTTCATATTCTCTTTATACATTAACAACAGTTAATGGAAGTTGTAAGAAATTTTTAATTGATCATCAGGATCATTTTGGGCGTGAATAAGGTTTATGGATGACAGATGACAGTTATCAATACTAGAAAGGGCGTGGACAAATAAACCAAACTACGCGGAACTGAGCGATAGGGTTTATCTTGCCAATTGAAGAATTGAAGAATAAAAATTAAGTATATTAAGTTACTTAACAGTGTTATAATAATTGTGTTGGTTTTACCCCATGACCATCTTGCAATCGCCCACAATGCGCGATCGAAATGTATTAAAAATGTCTATCCCGAAAAGAGCTAATGTTCTAACAGAATGCCCATCCCATTGTGTTACTAATAATGGGTAAAGAAACCTCCTAATATCTATATATATATTAAGTAAGAGGAATAATACAACGAGGATAACCCTCACGACCGTCCCCATCTCTTCCAAAACTTCCACCATCCCCCTTCCCCCTTAAACAGGCTCTTCCCATCCCTCCGCCGAATCCGCCAAAAATATACTGGAACGCCTGCCACGTTAAACCCAAGAACAAGCAGTGTCTGCAATGGCTCCGCAAACACCGCCCGACTCAGCAAAAACAAACTAACACAACAGAACACAATCGGCGTCGTAATCCATGTCTTATACGGCCGTTCCAAATACGGCTCTCGGATGCGCAGCACAATTAGTCCCAGCACCGTCAGGAAATAGAACGTGTACCCCGCCACGCCGTAGAAGGTGACCAGCGTCCCAAACTCGCCGACGGAGAGGTAGATGGCCGTCAGAGTGAAGTTGAACAGCATGGCATAGATGGGCGTGTAGCCGATGCCGATGTCATCGCCGAAGAGGCTGATGAGGGCCTTGTGGAACCAGGAGCGGTGGCGGAGACGTGACCCAGCCGAACTGGCGGCGGAGCCTGCTATGCCAATTTTTCCGAAGATGGAGGGTAGGTAGCCCTCGCGCCCTGCGGCGTAGATGAGTCTGCCGGAGGTAAAGGCGGTGGCGTTTAGGGCGCCGAAGCAGCTGGCGGAGACGACGAGGGCGAGCACGAGGGCGCCGATGGGTCCAAAGACCTTCCCGCCGAATTGGACGGCGACGGTGTTGGTTGCGTTTATAGTTGAAGAGGGTAGAACGAAGAAGTAGGAGATATTTGCAAGCATGTAGCATAGGATGACGGCGGGCATTGCGGTGTGGATTACTCGGGGGAGATCGCGGCTGGGGTTTTTGAATTCTCCCGTAACGTAATTTGTCTAGATTCTCACGGGTTAGTTAGTGCATCTACAAGATAAATCGGGCGGGCAACTGGGGACAAAGATTAAAGAAACAAAGACATACGTTATCCCAACCGTCAAACGCCCACAAACCCGCATATAGAGCTACCGCCCAGCTTGAGACATCGGTGCTGGTTCCCTCAAACCAGCTCGTTGTCCGCCATTTCCGATCCGGCTCGCCATTATATGACAGTCCCGTGGCCGCAACAACGATTCCAATGATGGTAACCCCAAGTAGGGCCAAAAACTTGAAAAACATAAACATGTCCCCAATGCGCGTACCCAGGCGCGTGGATATGCAGTTTAGGCCTGTTACAACAGTGAGACCCAGAATGGCCACTCCTTTATTAACCCAAGGGCTAATCGCCTCGACATCCGCCCCGACTATCGCCCGCACAACGTACTCGCCAAATATAATAGAGATGATGGCCGCGGAGCCCGGCTTCAGCACAAATACTGCAGACCAGGTAAACAAGAATCCGATCAGCTCCCCAAATATCTTAGCCAGATACACCTGCGCACCGCCATTCAGAGGTATCGCGCCCCCTAGTTCCGCATAACTCGCTCCGCCGGTCCAGGCCAGAAGGCCCGCAACAGCCCAGACAATCAGCGAGGCGCCAGGGGAACCCGCGTTCGAATTGACCCGGCCGGGAGACGAGAAGATGCCCGATCCGATCACCAATCCGATAATCAACGACAGACCGTTCAAATACGTCAGTGTCTTGTGTCTTTCGAGCGAGCCGTCGATGACGCCGTTGTGGCGGTCTAGCGAGAGGACTGAGGGCGCACCGAGCGGGGCATAGCCGCCCACGGTCTGTGAGAGGGGGAAGAGGTTACTGCCAAAGTCGAAGGCGGAGGAGACGGAGTAGGATCGTGCGTGTCTCGGGCGTGAGGTGTCGTAGAGGTGGTCGGAGAAGGGGTCTTGGTTCTCGAGGGAGGCTTTTCGGGAGGAGGATATGCCGGAGGGTGAGGAGGAGCGGGAGCCGTCTTGTCCGTCGTCACCAGTACGGGTCCCAGAGGAGGAGGCGAGAGAGGCTAGCTCAAGGGAATCTCTGGACGAGTCGCCAACAGGCCATCTTGATTCCCTATGGGTAACGGTCATGCTTCGGAGGATGGTGTGGTGTGCGTTGTCGTTATTTGAGGGGGGTTTATATGAGCGCCTAGGAAGAGATCACGTTCAACGTTGTCGCCATTCCAGAGAAGACTGGTTCTAGGTGGATGCGTTTCAGCGGGTTCTACATTGGGTATCAAATCATGAAGTCGTAGACAGAGTAATGTATCCGAGTTGCTGTTTGTTATTGTTGTGGCTGCTGTTGTTGTTGCTGTCTGCGGATTGACGTTGTTGATGTTTGTTGATCTGAACAATTGAATTTTGGGCGCATCAAATACCAGAAAAGGAGCAGTTGAGGAGAACATGGAGATACCTTGCCGCTAGTGCACTTCTGTAGGGAGATCGCTGTACTCTTTGGTACTACTCTGGTCATAAGCGCCGACCAAGCTTTTTGCGGGAAACCAAAAAGAAGAGAATAAATAAACTAAAACATGTTTAAAGAAAAAACTAAAACCAATCGCATTTCTATATAAACTACGGAGTACTCTCATTCATCTCCCTGGTATATCCCACCCTCCTCCGCTCTTTTCTAGCGAAACAACTTTATAGATGTCCCTCCTTCAACCTGCGAAGCGTCTCCGCCTTTCCGCCCTCCCATCTCCCGCTGCCCATTGTCGCCGAAGTGTCTCCGCTGTCTCCGCTGCCTCCGCTGCCTCCACGAATCCCTCTCCCCCAAAGCAACGAAGATGGCTCCGGGTTACAATAGTCACAGTCGCTGCCGCTGCCATTGGCGCCTACGTTCGATATGAAAAAGAATCGTCCACCGCAACCCTGAACCCATACACCTTCACACAATATGAGCTAGCCTCTAAAACGCCTGTCTCCTCAACCAGCAGCATATTCACCCTGCGCCCAGTGAAGCCAGGGAATAATGATGTGGTGTACAAAGATGCTTGGCAGAGGGGTCTATGGAGTGTCCAGTTCAAACAGCCACAGCTACAGATTGGACGGGATTACACGCCTCTGCCTCCTATTCCTGCGGCGAGGGTAGAGGGGGCGGGTGGGGAGAAGGAAGGTGGTGGTGGAGGAGGGGGAGGAGGAGGAGGAGGAGAGACAGATGACGGCGTCTTGCGGTTTCTGATCCGGAAAGATCCCTACGGAGAAGTATCTGGATACCTGCACAATCTGCCGATAGGTGCAAGGCTGGATATTCGTGGCCCACGGTTGGATTACATATTGCCCGCTGATGTGGAGGAGATCCTGTTTATTGCTGGCGGGACGGGGATTGCGCCGGGTCTTCAGGCTGCACATGCCCTGTTTAGAAATAATAACAAACGACCGGACTTGAAGAAGACAAAAATGCATATATTGTGGGCTAATCGGCGGAGGGAGGATTGTCTGGGAGGCGTAAATGACAGTCCTGCCGGGCCAAGCGCCGGTTCACTGCCATGGTGGAAACGGGTTTTCAGCACAAACAAAGATTTGTCTGTAACGGAGCACACCCCGCAGACCGCAATTGCGAGGAGCCCTACGGTCAGATACCTTGAGGAGTTGAAAGCTCAGTATCCAGGCCTGCTTACTGTTGATTACTTTGTGGATGAGGAAGGGACTTTGATTGGAAGCAATTCAATATTGAATTTTACGAAGCCGGAAGCGGCAAATGAGATACAGAAGAGGAGTGCCGGTGCTGCGAGGAAATTGATTCTTATATCTGGGCCTGACGGGTTTATCAGTTACCTGGCAGGGCCTAAGATGTGGAGTGGAGGACAAGAAATCCAGGGTCCGCTCCAGGGTCTTATACGCCGGCTGGACTTGAAGGATTGGTCGGTCTGGAAGCTTTGAGAAGATCGTCGACGTCCGACATATTTCAATTCTGTGATTAAAAATTTCCATCTTCTCTTGGGCTCTTTTATTTATCTTGGTATATCCTGGTATATTGCATAGCCTTGGAGTCTGGTTGAATATATCTCCAGTGCACGGTATTCCTTTACCTTCTCGGTCTCTTTCTGTTCATCTACCTTAAGATCTAACCATATCTTGTTTTCATGTTGAAGCATAATCATCTCATCTTAAAAAAAAAAAGGCGAAAGGCGTGAAGAGAGGGTGTTCTTCAAGAAATATCACAGCCAGCTTACTCCCGCCCATTCGCAAAATCCTCCAGATAAACCGCCAATTTCTCCACATTCTCCACTGGTACGGCATTGTAATTGCTGATCCGGATACCACCTACGCTGCGGTGGCCCTTTAGACCCTGAAGAAGCCTCTTCTCCGCCCCAGCCAGGAACACCTTCTCCTTCTCCGCATCCCCGCCATAGACACGGAAGCAAATATTCATCCTACTCCGCACGCTCTTATGTGGTACGACGCCGTAAACCTGCGGATATTTATCCAACGTAGCGTATAACAGCTCTGCCTTGCGGTTTGCAATCACTTCCTGCCCGCTGACCTTCTTATCTCCGTAAGTCTCCACCAGCTTGGCCATAACCTCGCCGGCGATCCAGAGGTTGAATATAGGCAAGGTGTTGTAGAGAGAGTTATTTTTGGCGATAGTGGCGTAATCGAACATGATGGGGCCGGGGAGCCCGCCAATTTCTAGTTTACGAAGAAGCTCTGGAGATGGTGTTGCTGTGTGAGGTGGCAGAAGCGATTTCCGGATAATAACCACGGTGATTCCAGCGACGCCAACGTTCTTTTGGGCCCCGGCCTGTGAATAATAAGATTAGTAAAATGATATATATATAAACATAGAAAGGAATCGTAGCTGCCCTGCTTAAGACTTACAAAAACAGCCGCAAACTTCCGCACATCAACTTTCCTGCTCAAGAAGTTCGAACTCATATCCGCAACAACCAACCGCTCATCCTCCTCAGCAACATCCCCCTCGGGCGCCTCCAAACACGTCGGAAACCCTTGAAACTCCACTCCATCCACCGTCTCATTGTCGCAATAATATATAAAGGCCGGCGCACCACTGCCGCCCTCCCGCCTCGTCTTAGTAAGCTTCCACTCCTTCTCGGCCGGAATCGTCCCAAACTTCCCCCCATTCCCCTCCCGCGCATCACACGCAGCATTCACAAACTGCTTCCCACATAGCCTCTGCGCCTCCTGCATCGCTTTCAGTGACCACGAGCCCGTCACCAGGTAATCCATTTTCAGCTCCTCGCGCACCATCCGCTTCAACTCCGCCTCCACGAACTCCTCGCCATTCCCTTCCCTCTGAGCCTGAGCTGCAAGAGCCCGTCTTCTCCGCTCAACCCACACCCCGACCATATTGTACACGACGGCACTGAACTCCCCAGTCCCGCCACCCTGCATGAAGAGGATCTCATAGTCGTCCGCGGGGATATCTAGAAGTGTTACCAGGTTTGCCTTGGTGTCGGCGAGGATTTTGTTAGCGACGGGTGAGCGGTGGGAGATCTCTGCTAGGCCTAGGCCGCAGTCGTTGTAGTTTATTAGGGCTGCCGCGGCGGATTCGATGACGGGGGTTGGGAGCGGCGCGGGGCCTGCGCCGAAGTAAGAGATGGAAGAGCGGTTGGGCATTTTACTATATTTCAATTATGTAGTTTCCCCTTGTTTTCTGTTTTTGCCAAAGTTATATTGTATATTTCAATAGTTTGGTTGTTAGATGGCGAAGCTCTAGGAAGCAGCGTGGGGTGTAATAGGATATCAAAGGCTTGGCAGACGGCAGGACAATATAATGTGATGGTGGGGCAGATCGGCTGTAGTTATACAATAATAATAATAATAATGCTGGACGAATGGCCTACAATTGAAACCAACTGGCTGGGAATTGAACCTGTGACAATTTCTTGGAAGAATCAATGTGGACATGAAATGCATTTGAGATCATTGAGATAGATACCCTCTTTATAAGTGACTGTTAAACTCTTGAGTCATACCAATCAATGTTATTTCTTTACTTCGTACCAGGGCGGGTGGTTTTGGATAGCTAATAGCTATGACAAATGGTTCAGAATGTGACTGTAACAATTCATCTAACGAAATGATCTACGGATTTTATCCCCACGGCCAATTAGAATATTTACAGGGTTAGGTGCACTACAGTAGCCAATTACCCAATCCTTTAGAAAGTAATATATATCTGTACCGTACCTCCGTATGGATGAGAATAAATTTTGAGAGCTGCGGCGCTAGCACCTCTGCAGTGCAGTGGTGCAGTGCAGTGAGCACGTCATTTTGTGACATTTAGCAAAGATAGGATGAAGGTGGCATTGCGAACGTGATGGGCACGAAGAATAATAGCAATTGATATTGTGATATATATAATATACAATGCTAAATTGAAATAATATTAATTTATAGAAAGCAACAGGAACACAAGAAAATTCATATTGATATTTAACATGATGAGAGACCCAGCCGGATCAACTTTTATGCGAGAGAAAATCACATGATCTCCGCCATTCCGAGATCGGAACATATCTTGGCATATCTTGGCATGTTTATTTCCCCTGCAAACGCAGTTACATAATTAATCCCTTGATTTTCATTGGCTGCGGGCAAAACTAAATCCTCAAAATATTTTGGGAAGAGTCATTTATATCTTCCCCCAGATATACTCCGTAACTCAGGAGCAGTCAGGTGTATCATACTACCCGCTGCCATCATGATTGTAAGTCACTAGTTTCTTTCCCAAATGGCGTATTAATTGCCTCGTATTAATCAACTTCCCATAGCGATCTTTGGCCGCGGCATATAGGCCCCGACTGCTCCCCAGACGCCCCCTCTCAGTCCCCTCATGCTACCGTCCATTCTCCGCCTCAAGATGGACCTTCTCTCCAGACGTCTTCCACTCCCAGCGTGAGGACCCCTCTGCCTCAGCCATCCTCTCCTCTCTTGAATCCGCGACCGACCCCGTACCGCAGACCCTCGTTGAGAAAATCGTCCAGAAGTATTCCGTCGGCCTAGCTCCGGGCAAACACGTGCGGTCCGGCGACTATGTCACCATCTCCCCCTACAAATGCATGACCCACGATAACTCATGGCCCGTCGCGCTCAAGTTCATGTCCATCGGCGCGTCTAAACTGCAGGATCCTAAGCAGATCGTCATGACTCTGGACCATGACGTGCAGAATAAGTCGGAGAAGAATTTGCTCAAGTATCAGCAGATTGAACAGTTTGCCAAGACTCATGAGGTAGACTTTTATCCTGCGGGGCGCGGTATTGGCCATCAGATCATGGTCGAGGAAGGGTACGCTTGGCCTGGCACCCTAGTGGTGGCATCGGATAGCCACTCCAACATGTACGGAGGAGTGGGATGTCTGGGTACCCCCGTGGTACGGACAGATGCTGCTAGCATCTGGGCCACGGGCAAAACATGGTGGCAGATCCCTCCAGTTGCGAAGGTTAACTTTACTGGTGTCTTGCCCAAGGGTGTTACGGGCAAGGATGTGATTGTCGCGCTCTGTGGCCTGTTCGACAAGGACGATGTCCTCAATCATGCCATTGAATTCACAGGATCGGAAGAAACCATGAGAAGTTTAGCGGTCGATGACAGACTTACCATTGCCAACATGACAACAGAATGGGGCGCTCTCGCTGGCATCTTCCCCGTCGACAACATCTTGAAAGGCTGGTTGAGATCCAAAGCGACAACCGCAGCTATGTGGGGTGGATCCCAGAACGGTCTCCCAAGCTCAGCAAATACACGCTTCACACATTCCCTACTGGATAAAATGTTCGAACGGCCCCTTGCTGCAGATAAGGGCGCCCACTACGCCAAAGAGCTCTACCTGGATCTGTCTACGCTTGCTCCCTACGTCTCTGGCCCTAATTCCGTGAAAGTGGCTACTCCCTTGAATGAGCTAGAAGGACAGGATATCAAGGTTAACAAAGCATATCTCGTCTCGTGCACAAACTCCAGAGCATCTGACCTTGCCGCGGCTGCAAAGGTCTTTAGGGAGGCTGCAGAGAAAAACGACGGGAAAATTCCAAAGCTAGCAGATGGCGTCAAATTCTACATCGCAGCTGCCTCTATCCCCGAACAGAACGCTGCAGAAGAAGCTGGTGACTGGCAAGTCCTGGTCGAAGCGGGAGCCCAACCACTCCCGGCTGGTTGTGGACCATGTATCGGCTTAGGAACTGGTCTTCTGGAACCGGGCGAAGTGGGAATCAGTGCAACAAATCGCAATTTCAAGGGTCGGATGGGTAGCACCGAAGCAAAGGCGTACCTTGCCAGTCCCGAAGTCGTCGCCGCCAGCGCGCTGAGCGGCAAAATTAGCGGGCCGGGCTGGTACGAGAAGCCGGAGGGATGGACTGGCGTTATCCGTGGCGAAGGTGATGGCATCAGAGAAGAAGATAGAATGCTTACGGCCGAAGAATCCATTGCCAAAGTCATCGGCCAGCTCGATACCATGGTCCAAGACGCCGAGAAGATCTTCGGTGACAAAGCCACATCATCATCAGCCTTAACATCTCCACAAGAAAGTGCGTTTCAACAACAGCAGCCCCAATCCCAACAAGAGCCTGAAACCGACTCCCCCGCCCTCACCGAACTCTTCCCAGGCTTCCCCGAACGCGTCTCTGGCGAAATCATCTTCTGCGACGCCGACAACATAAACACCGACGGCATCTACCCCGGCAAATACACCTACCAAGACAACATCTCCAACGCCCAAATGGCCAAAGTCTGCATGTCCAACTACGACGCCGCCTTCTCCCAGCTCGCGCGCGCAGGCGACATCCTCGTTACAGGCTTCAACTTCGGCTGCGGCAGCTCGCGCGAGCAGGCCGCGACAGCTATCCTAGCCAAGCGCATCCCGCTCGTCGTCGCGGGCAGCTTCGGCAACATCTTCTCGCGCAACAGTATCAATAATGCGCTGATGGGGCTGGAGGTGCCGAGGTTGATTGAGCGGTTGAGGGAGTCATTTGGTAATGCCGGTGCTGAGGATGGGAAGAAGGCGCTCACGCGCAGGACTGGGTGGACGTTGACATGGGATGTTAGGAGGAGCCGGATTGAGGTGCAGGAGGGCGAAGGGGGTGCGAAGTGGACACATAAGGTTGGTGAGTTGCCGCCGAATGTGCAGGAGATTATTGCGCGGGGTGGGTTGGAGAAGTGGGTTAAGAATGCTATTGCGGAGTCGTAGGGGTGTATATTGTGATTTATATGCAGATGGATTGTGGAGCCAATTTTTTTGCCTTGTTTTTCCTTGTCCTTTCATTTTGGTGTTTTCTCCGTGAAATGTCATCTACGATACCTTGGGCTTTTTCCCCTTATTTTTTTCTTCCCTTTGCCATTTTTTTTTCTAATTTCCATAGATCGGTGTGATTGCTGCCTCAAATTTCGGTCCTTGGCCTTGGTTTCTTTTACCCTTGGGATATCTTATATTGATTGGTTGCTAGAGAAGAAAAAAGCGGATGTGCATTGCTTGTCTGGTTTCATTGCCCATTTATCCGGCGGGACTCTTGTGTTTTCATTGACTTCATCTCTGAGTTCAAAAGTGTATATAGATTTAGAAATATTTGCCTCGTCACTAGTCATCCTACTTCCCTCTTCATTGACCTTCCCTCTTCATTGACCTTCCCTCTACGGAGCATGTCGTGTCTCGTTTTAAATATGCCATCGACTCACTGGTCGGCATCGATAGCGTTGTGTCGAAGTATGCTACCGTTGTGTATGCACGGGAGGTCTTGGTTCCCGAACTGCTGGAGATGTTGGTCCGGGAGGACATGGGAGTCAAAACAATGCAGGGTGTAACAAGCGTGTACGGTGGAATCGAGGAATGAGGGCTATGGCCAAGCAATATAGAGTACACAAAACTCGAGAGAACAACAGCCAACGAAGTGATGATATCATATAAGAAAATAGACCCCCTGATTTCAAGTCCATCCCCAGAACACCCTGTCAATTTCAAGATTTCAAAAACGGGTTCTAAAAAGAAGAGACTGGGTCTCTTTCTTATGTACTTCCACCGCCCCCTGCGGCAGGCCCTTGGCCTGGACCTTCTCCCCACTGGGGGGGATTCGGCGGCCGCGACGGAATTATTGATCCGCCCCAAGGATTAGTCGTAGGGAGAGAGGCTGGAGCCAACCCTTCAGTCGATGTGGTGGAGACTAAGGGTTGCTCACCGGGAGCCGGGGGTGCTGTCGTAGCTGTTGCGCCGGTAGGCCATTGGATTCTGTTCTTGTATACCGCGGACTGTTCTGGTCTGTCAGGTGTTGGGTTACCCCATATAACTTCTCTCGGTTCATATTTCTTGGTATTATCATTGAGATAGATGTGGACAGAGTAGGCCCACACTTGGCCCGGCCCAGCACGATCAGCGATTTTACCAAACCGCACAGAAATATGATAAGCAGTATCCGGTTCTCTGTCGGTTTTTGAGGTTTGAGTCTTGTGACCGCCCTTTCTAACAGGATAGTCCGCGGGGTCCGCACGGGATGATAACATACTGCACAATACAGTAATCTGGTAGAAGGGTCTTGAAGGTTTCGCCGGTATTAGACTCCATACGGTCTTGGGGGTTCTTTATATAGTCCCTGATGCACTGGACAACCTCTTCCACACTGTGGGCCTCAGGTTTGTGATTCCACTCCAGCCGAAAGTGCTTTTCGACCCCCGAACATCAGTATCGCATCGTATAGACCGGCCAGTTAGATTCGTCCACATTTGGAGGCATCTTGAATCGGCAGAGGATAACGGTTTGAACGAAGGAAGGTGTTAAGAAGTCTAACAACCAGCGGGCAAGGGGTTAAGGCGTATATTGGGGGAATGTATTGACGGAGCCGTAGAGATGTAAAGATGTTTAAGGGGGATTTTCTTGTGAATCGGGATGATTGATGGAGGGAGTAAAAGCTGAAGGTTGCAATGATTTATATACAAACTCCAAGCCGGGGGTGGCCCTTCCTGTTTGTTTCATACATTACTTCTCTCATCTCTTCTGAATGTTCGCAGGTAAAGGCGCTTGGGCAAACTGAGTGATATTTGGGATATAACCGTTCAGAGCGGGATGATTAAAGAAGATCGCTCCTGGCTATTCGTGAATTGGCGGGCAAGGGCAATGAGAAGCATGCAGCAGCAAGAACCGCTTTCAAGCAAACTTTACAGCAATTAACAGCGAATCATATATGCTTTGTTGGTTGGCATCCCCGTAGAGATACCTAAAATCTCACGGCAACAAAGGCTCGATATTAGCCTTTGGGGTCCTTGACGGCTGTTGTTTTGAGGTTCAGGGGCTATCGCCATACCATACCAGTTGCATATGAATGATATTCCTGTGATTGAATAACTTGGGAGCCTGGTGGCTCGCATGGGAGAGTATTGGGTGGGGAGAGCAGGATTGAAGTCCTGGGATGCATGTGAATTGAAGCTGTCTGTATCATGAATGAACTTGAAAGGATGCTTTCATTGAAAAATGGTTGGGTAGTGGTCACTAAGGGGCATTCCCTTTGTAAAATACAGCTATAACTAGAAGAAAGGAGGTGTAGTAAGCGGTGGTTAACTTAAGTTTCTCGTAATTGGTTGAATAAGCAGGCTGGATACAAATGCGGATTACGGAAATTCCCAATCTTTTTATTATTTTATTTTTCATTTTTGGGTTGGAAAGCGGCCCGCTGCCTAACTTATAACTATATTAGACTCGAGCCCTCGAAAATTTTCCGATTCAGAATTTGATTTTTATCTGTATGCTACGGCTAAATTATTCATCCCTAGAAACCTCCAACACCATACATTGACCCAGCAATGGAACCAACACTGCAACCGAAGCAGTATCCTGTAAAGAAACATCAAGCTTCTGACTCACCTGGTTGGGACACAACACTTTTTCAGGGTAGCGAATGCGAGTTTCTGCATGAGTATACTGATGAAGGCCTATGTCCTGTTTTGATTGATGATTTGCTTGGTGGCTCAGACTTGATTCATAAAGGAAAGCTGTGTTCTTTCAGGATCATTGGAAAGCTGGGAAGAGGATCTTATTCTACTGTTTGGTTGGGAAGAGACATGTAATAACCCCATGCACTCTTCTCATGCCCTTCAGCTTATTGAGTTAGACCAGCTGACACTTGATATGTTCAGCAATTCTGGTGAATACCTTGCCCTCAAAATTCTACGACTTGAGTATAGCACTCCAGACAACTCTGAGATGAGTATTCTACAGAAGCTTGGAAAACTTGAGGTTGCCTTTTTCCACACTCATGTCCCCACACAAGATCAATTTCTCTGTCTTGGCCTAAAGCCACTTGGGTGTACTCTTCGGGAGAGGTTTAATGCTGAAGTTGATGCACCTGGTGATGTTCCTTCTCTCACCATATTAGTGAGGACGATCTTGATGAAGGTGCTTACTTTTCATCAGAAGGGAATATGCCATGGTGGTAGGTGATGTTTACTCTCTCATAACTACTCAATACTATTCAACAAACATTCATTAACCAAGCAAATGATTTCACTTAGACATTAGCCCCAATAATATTTCTCTAGGGGTACATCCTGAAGCTTTTACCAATGAAGCATTGGTCAAAACTTTTGAGTTTGATCAAAAATCTTATGTTATACTCCGGAATGTTTCAGATTTGGACACACCGCCTCCACGCCCAGGTAATCTGCCTGAGTATATCATTCTCCGTTATGGGACTCCTCTTAAAACAGATGCACAAGATATGTCACTAGTTGATATAATTGATTTTGGCAAAGGTTTGTCACCATCATTCCAATTGAATATCTGATAGGAATATCTTTTGCTTACATTTCAGCTCCTCTGACTCAATGTAGAATAGTTGTACTAACAAGTGCTTGAACAAGGGTTTGACACACCTTCAAAATCAAATGTCCTCGGGACAGAAAACTACTGTGCCCCAGAGCTGGAGCATAGTGGTGCAAATACTGCAACTGCGAAGTCTGACCTTTGGAGTCTAGGCTGTGTGGTAGGTTAATATATTCTGTTAAATGCGATTTTATCTAATCTAAGCAAATTTTTCTCCCTTTTCCTATCATCTCTAACTTTATCTAGTTCGCGTATATACCAACCTACCAGCATCTATTTGACAGGAAAAATGACCTAACATATTATCTCGGTATGTTCCCCACAACCAGTTTAATACCAGTTCTTCTTTCCATTCCTGCGCGAAATTTCATTGGACCTGACCTCATTATCACACAGCCGCCAACCACGAGGCACAGATCTCATACATTGAGTCTCGGCTTTCGATGAGCCACCTGAAAGACGAGCCAGAATATTGCCATTCACTTGCGCGGCTCATACATTCTTTAGTACGAGTCGACCCAAAAGAACGTGATCCGGAAGCCGCCAAGAGAATACTTAAAAATCTTGAAGCCTGGAGCCCCCATAAATAGCAGAAATTCCCATTTTATGGTGTTGAATATAAAAAAATGAGATCATCTTTGATCTTACAGCGTGCTGCCACCCACTGAATTTGCTTCGATTCCCCTCGTTTGGTCTTTTGTTTGCTTCTCATGTTTCATTCCGGCTCTTCCCCCTCATTTCTTTATCTCTCTGCTTCTGTTTTTCTTTGATTGACAATATGAGAGTGTACACATGATGACTGTTTAATTGGTCATGCTACAGATCCTGTTTTGAATATTCTCACTTTTTATACTGTAATGAAACAACTGAACTGCAAAATTTACAGACCTCTTGACTGTTCTTTACAAGTAGTGTTCTCAGTAGTATTCTAGAGAATAGAGGAAATCTGGTATGAATATTCTAAAGAATAGGGGGTATTTTACCTAGAAGTGATATCTAGCATGACCAGATCATGGATGCTCTGAAGAGTAAGAAATATATCAGGTATGCTTAGGCCATGCATACTCTGAAGAATAGGGGATATTTTCCCCCCAGAAATGACATCTGGTATGACCAGACCATGAATATTCTAATAAGCTCAGTGGTACTCTGCTGAGCCTTATCTAGAACCTCATAAGATAGACAGATATTATGAGTCATGTAAAAAATCTCATTTAATCAAATAATAGTCAATGATGCATCTTCTGAGTTCTTATAGTCATTATCTCTTCCTTCAGCCAGCTATATTTATGAACTTGCTGAAACTAGTGTGCTACAGCTTGAGTGTCTTAGAATGATTTTACATCAACAGAAGTACAAATTCACTGTTCTTAATGTCACACCTCTTGTAAGAAATCCCGCTCCTCACGGATTCTTTACCCCTATTTCTATCTCTTGTGTAACCAATAGGGCTAGCAGCCCTTGGCTACACACAACTATATAGACTGGAGTTCACAAATACTATTTATAACTCAGCTTGAATACTATTATATATTTAATCTCTACATTTTATCTTTCTACTGTGAATACTTCTAGTAGTTAACAGTATATATCATGTCAAGCTGTAAATATCTGAATAATCATCTGTGAGTACTTATTCTTACATTTCAAGCTCAGTCAGTCAGTAACTATCTATTATAACTGAAAGAACTAGAAACTTATATACTTTAATCTCTGTAAACTCTACTGTAGATACTCAGAAGCAGTTATCTAAATTATGAATAATCTCTATAAAAGAAGTTTCAGAGAACTTATTAATTACTTATAGATTATTATTCTCTATATCTATAATAGAGAAATCTTCAAACTTATAAATAAATCAATCTCAGTGAAGAACATTCTTGAGTATCTTTTACAGAATTAAGTTATTTTTCTATAAGAAATATTTACTATTTATAAACACTCTTAAACTGAGTCTTTAGATATAATCTTTAGAAATATATATAAATTAAAAAGAAACTTTCTTAAGCTATAACTATTTAAAATTACTTATTAAATCACAATCTATAAAAGCTTTTATAAGTTTATATTTAAAATTGACTTATAAGTCTGACTATATAATATAAAAGATGAAGAAGCTATTATTTATATAATAATAGATCTCTATTATACTGAAGTCAAGAACTGACTGAATTATCTAGAGAATAATTATAAAAGATCTTACTAATCTATTCTTAAGATCTATCTAGAGAATAAGTTAAGAGACTCTGTAAGTTAGATAGAGAATATCTAAGCTGTAATTATTAATATTAGAAAAAGAGATAAGAAATCTGATAAAGACTACTCACAGTACTTTATAAAATTATAATATAAATTAAGATCTGTGAAAACAGAGTTCTGAAATAAGATCTGAATAATGATATTTATAAAGAGACTGAATAAAGATATATAGAATAAACTTATTAAATAAGACTTTAAGCTCTTAACTCTGAAGAAACTAATAACTTTTATTTATTATTTATAGATTACTGTGAGAGTTATAGATTTATAAAGAGTGAATTATTAATCAGCTCTATAAGAGTCAGAATAACAGAGAATAGATTTATCAGAAAAAGATAATAAAATATAGAGAGATTTATATCTAACTACTAAGTAAAGAGAAAGAGCTTTATAAGCTTTTATAAATAGAGTATATAATAGAGAGATTAAGAAAAAGAGATTCTACTTTATCTATTCTAAATCAGAATATCTTCATATAAACTGTTTAAATAAATTAAAATAGAAATTTAAGAAGTTATAGATAGAGTCAGTAATAGTCTTTTTAAAAGTCTTAAAACTGATATCTGAATCTGTTACTTCTCTGATGAAAATACTTACTTATAGAGAGAGATTATACTATAATACTACTACTCTATAAGTATGAGAAGTATTAATAAACTTAGAATCTCAGATTACTATAATATCTCTAAAGCTTACAGAGTGAATAAGCTGAAAGATGAAAACTGAGAATCTGCTCTTATAATAAGCAGAGTATAAGAACTCAGATCTAAGAACTGAGAGACTTATAAGAGTTATTTTTAAATTATAAGATTTCTCTGAAATCTGAAGAAGATTTACAGAAACTGTGATTATTATAGATATTATAGATAATATATATTTAAGACTTATATAACTTTAAAGATATAATTCACACATAGCTATCTGTAAGTCAGGTTTATACTTTCAATCAGTGTTAACAGACTTACTTATAGAGATAGAATCAGTTAATACTTGTCATACTCCCGGCCGCGCCAAGGCCCTGTTGCGGTTTCACACGGCTCATCACTTCCATGCAGATGATTTCATTTCATTCAAACCAGTTTTCAATCACTCTATGACATCATTCGGATATATTATAGAAAGATCTGATTGATGAATATGAGAATCTCACTTCTATACAAGGTTAGCAGATTACTCTTTCTTGGTAATGAGACACTGCTGAGGTATCACTCTGACTATTTTTACTTATGAAATGAGAGAAGAGTATTCACTCATTGTCTATATAGAATAGCTAGATACTGACTTCTCATCAAAGAAGTCAGTGATTTGTTTTACTTCTACTGAAATATATATGAGAGTTACTGCATGTCTTATATAATCTTCTTAGTATACTAAGTATCATATCTGTGATATTCTTGTAATAACTCTGTAACCTATAAGCTCACTATTCAAGCAAGATAGTCAAGCTCACTTATACAGCTTCTTAAAACAACTATCTCTATATAATACTACTAACTAGTCATTACTTTGATTCTGTCATATTACAATTCAAATCACTCAATCTGATTATATGTTTGAATCAGTCAAGCTCTAACAGACTGATATGATCTCATACATCTATACTGAGACTGATCTGATCTCACTCTCTGAAGAAAACACTACATCATTTCCTAGAGTGTGTACATCTCTATCTCAGCAGAAATCTGAGATTTCTGAAACTGCTGTGTATTTTAATATAAGCTCTTCAACTGTTCTGTCATCACTGCAGTCTCTACACACCTACATCTATTATAAAGATAGAGAGATTAAGATCAGAGATTCTCTGAGATATAAGAGAAATATCTTGTCTGAATTTCACAGCTTTATCTGTATTCTTGAACAGAAATTCTGCCTTAATCTGAGCCAGTATAATACTCATAAGATATAAGTAATATATACTGTCAATCTTCTTGAAGATATCTCTGCAACTACTTGAGTCATCAAGAAGAGAGAGCTTGAGTATATCAATACTGTTATAACTTAAGAAGAATTCAAGAACTTTCTACTGAATCAAATTGAAGATCACTGTAACTACAGCTTCATAACAGTACAGTGATTCAACTTATTATATTAATAAGATAATAAGAATTCTTTCAATTTCAATGTAAGATTTGAAGAATATTGAGAGAAACTGATCAATGATTTGAATCAATTAAAAATACAGCTTTATCTTATGAAGCTGACTCATAAGATACAGATAATAATATCACAGTATCAGAGTTCATTAATTAATTATACTAAGCTTATTAACCTGGCTTTCTGAATCAATTTAAATAATCAATTCTCTGAGAAAAAGACTAATAAGATCTCTTCTAAGTAATCAATAATAGAATCTAAACAGCATCATAACAGCTTCAGTGTAAAGAAAGTAAAGAAGAATTTCAAGTATTCTGATTCTTCACTCACTGTGAAGAAATATTAAAAAAGATTTGATAAAGATCTCTGTTTTAACTGCAGAGCTGATGATCACTATATCAGTAATTGTAAGAAGCTGAAGAAGAGAAGAAACTGAGAAGATATCTTCTTAAAGTTAACTTCTCTTCTGACAAATATATCTGTGAAAGATAAAGAAGAGAAAGAAAAGAATTGATAATTCTTATATCTCTGAGTTCATGTTATAATCACAATATATACTCTGAATGAGAAGATATCAGTGAGATGTTTACTTAACTTCAGAGTGAATATTAACTTCATATTCTATTTCTTTTCTTTGATGAAGAGTTAAAAGAAGATAGATCTGTCAGATTATATGAAATTTACTGATGAAATGAAATATCACTGTTTTAGCATAATTTAAGTGAAGTATGTGATCACAGACTCTGAAGAAATCTTCAAGAAGAGCAGTCTGCTTCTTTATACAGTTAATATCATAGATAAGAATGTTATTCTAGATCTTCTGTGATTGAGAGAAAACAATTCTCTTATTAATCAAGTCACTCAGATGTGACAGTATCATCTCACTAATAAAGAGATAGTGATAGAGAAATCTGAAGAGTTTCATTAGAAGAATCTTGAGAAAAGAATTGAGTCAATATACTGCATAGCAGGTGATTGAGACTTAAGAACAGGTGAAGAAGTCATCATTCTTACTGCAAGATTAGCAGCAGTATCTGTCATTGAAGACAGATATATATAATGTCTCTTTACAGATTTTAAGAATGTCTTTTTAAAAAGAGAAGCAGTGAAGTTTTCTGATATCAAGATATAATATAAGATTCATCTTAAAGATGATGCAACAGTGCTGTACAGATCTCTTTATAACTTATCTATAAAGAAGTTGAATATTCTGCATAAATATCTTAAAGAAGTGTAATTAAAGAACTGAATATATTTATCAAAGAGTTCAGCAGAGATGTCTATACTCTTTATATCTAAGAAGAATAATAGACTATGTCTATGTGTAGACTACAGAGGTCTCAATAAGATGATGATTAAGAATCACTATTCATTATCATTGATTAATGAGATGATTGATTAATTATCTGAAGCAAAGATATTCTCAAAGATTAATATACAGAATATCTATCATAGAATCAGAGTTAATGAAGACAATGTTTGAAAAACAGTCTTTTATATCAAGTATAGCAATTTTGAATATCTTGTTTTATCTTTTGATCTCTGTAATACTTCAGTCATCTTTCAGACCTATATAAATGAGATGCTGCAGAGCCTTGTTAATGTCTTCTGCATAGTATACTTAGACAACATTCTAATCTTCTCAAAAACAGAGAAAGAATA